ACATATACTTTCTGACAGTCAGCCTGGGTCTTACTAGAAGAGCCGAGCTATCTAAATGAAATGCTTTAGATACTGATAACTCTAATATCATCCTTGAATAACTAGAAAGTTTTAGTACTGGAAACAACTGGAGTCCTCATTTTCTTGGACGTATGAATGCAGGTTTCCCTCCACGTCTCTTTCACAGAGTTCCAGTGTTCTTTCATGCAGGTTTCTTCAGGGGTACTGGTTAATGTCTCTCATTTTCCCTGATGGCCGACGTGAAGACACCCTTCGTAGCTTCAAGAAACACTCGTCTTGGACGGATGAATGTTTCTCGAAACTAAAAAGGACATCTTCACGTCAGCTATCAGGAAAAAGTGGGAGATATCAGAAAACATCCCTGAGGAAACCAGAGTGGAAGAACTGGAACTCTTTGAGAAGAGAAGAAGGCCGGACTCAAACCACCAACCACCAAGTTTCCGGCCCGATACTAAAACAACTAAACTACGAAGTTTGACTACTCACCAGATTTGAATTTCACTTCAATCACCCAGTGGTTGCTGGTTCGAATCCGGTAGAGGTCCAAATTTTCATTTCACCTTCAATCATCACCCAGTATAAATATTAGTCTACCAAACAACGGCTATCTAAGATAGCTAAGATGATAATAGATATGATAATCCCTCCCGCTTCGTCCCTCACTGATTCAATTAGATTTGGTCTGGGATAAGCAATCCTGACTAGTCAGCTTGTGTGAGTACGATTAAGTGGTATTAACGCATTATGAATTGACATGGTAGTCGGGTAAAACCGATGGTAAGAATCTGGTGAGCGATCGGACTTCGTAGCTCAATTGGTAGAGTATCGGGCTGGAAATCCGGTGGTGGCTGGTTCGAATCCGACCACATTCTTGATTTCCATTTCGCCTTGATTCATCACCCAGTATAAATACCAGTCTACCAAACAACGGCTATTTCAGATAGTCAGGTGATAACATCAGAATATGAGGAGAGAGCTCAGAATTCCATTTTTTTTCCATGCCTTATTGACACAGACTAGATGATTCCTTTCTGAGGTCAATTTACAGGAAGGCAACATGGAATAGACAATACATGAATTTTCAAAGCTGGGTAACTCCCAGCAAAGAAAAGGTAATCTGAACCACTTTTTTCATGAAGAATCAGAATAATCTGCACAAATGATACTATCGAGGATTACTACAATATTACTTGTCCATTGGGTTCCTAGTGGAATATAGGAATTCAGTAATACATCACCGTTTCACTTCCTTCTCTCCAATCTTTTCAACCTCGCCACACCACTACCCACAAGCTCTCATTTCTTACTCACACCATCTCTTCCATGTCACACTCAGCTGGAACGCCCATCTCGTCGTTTCCCATTCTGCTTCTACTCGACAGCCTGGCCTAGACTGACCTGATGCGTGATGTCCCTAAACCTTCTTCTCAGTCTATGTCCAATCCACTCCAATCCATTTCCACTCTCTTCCTCTGCATATTTGTTGGACGATACGTTCTCGGCTGGATGGTTCATTGTCAGCCAGCCAGTCAGTCAGTCAGTCAGTCAGTCAGTCAGTCAGTCAGTCAGTCAGTCAGTCAGTCAGTCAGTCAGAGTTCCTCCTTCCTTATTCATATTATTCTGGCCATCTATCCGATCTTCAGTGTCAGTATCGAGTGGGTGTAGGTGGTAGTTGTTGACAACGTATGTCTGCAGTTTGTTGAGAATGCTTTTTGTAACGCTCCGCCAAGTCTCTCAACCATCACATAGAAGCGCTGACTTGACTGACATTAGTAGTGTTGAAAATCCTGATGTTGTTCACCTTTTATGCTGAGTGCAGTGCAGTGTAGTAAATCTGAACACCGATTGATTGATTGATTGATGAATCCTGTCTTACTGTCTTTCCAATCGTGGCTTTGATGTTCTCATCTGTTCCTGTGCCGCCTGTGGTTGAAAAGATACTGCCTGCCTGGGTAGATAGGTGAAAGAGACAACCTCCTTCAGATTTCTACCCTTGATGGTGATTGGTGCCTGTTGTTGGTTGTGTATCTTCATCACCTCCGTCTTCTCTACCTACATCTGAAGGAAGTCTTGTCTTCGTTGCCCTACCTGTTCTTCCAACTTGTTATTTTTCACCTGTAGATCTCCGAGTTTGTGCAACAAGACATCAGACATAAATCATCATCATCGTTGAAATCCAAATCTTCTTCTGAGGTCTTTCTATCGTTCCAGCCAGAGTATGTCCATCTTCTTGCTCTTCACAGTTTGTTTCATGATCCAGTTCAGTCGAGTCAACCACACTGAAGAAGATCATCGGTGATCGATAGCAGGCAAGCTTGTTTTATTCCTGCCCCCTGTCTTCACTTCAAGTAGTAGGTCGTGTTTTTATACTTTCAGTAGACCATATGAACGAACAGTTACACAACCAGATGGTGACAGTTGTTCGAATAATTCGGCGTTGAAGGTAGACTTATATGAAAATTTACTCTTATCTTATAAGATAGAGATTATCTTGGCATTATAGTTCAGACTATCTATCCCTGAGGACATCAAAAGCGGCTTTATCAGGAGGAAATGGCATCAGATCTTTGTTTTTCAATATCTTTTGAAGATGTCTGCATTTCACATCCACCAACAACTCACTGTGTTGAAACTAGTTGTCGTTCTCAGCATTTCCATTATACAAAACATTATTACACAACTACTTTCCACTCTTATTTTCTTCTCAACCTCTGTTTGCATTGGAATCCAATACGCACAGTTCGTCTTATTTGGGACTCACTCTTCAGCCGGATGTACCTGCATCCTAGTATGAAGTGATGCTACTCCCAATGAGATTCGAATCTAGTATTCATCGCTTCAGACATGAAGGCGTCATTCAAGAGGACCACCAGTTGTGCAACGGACATCTATTGTTGTTTTGATACCTACTGAACAAGCGGTGACCGTCGTGGACAACGCTTTTGCATTTGAAGTGATGTGCAGTGGATTCGAATCTCAGTGGGAATAATACCACTCCGTACAGAGATGTGAGTATATCCAACTGACAAGTGAGTCCTAAATAGGATGAAATGTGAGTCTTAGATTCCAGTGCTATTCATCAAGATGAATATAACTTCTGATCTAGTTTCATTCACTTTCTACACACATTGACTTCTTTCTGTAGTGATGAGTGATGTAATGACTTGAACAGAAGCAGTTTTCTACTAGAATCTATGTTAGTTCAAATCGTTTCTATGATATATAATCTTCGTTTTTGGCCACTTATCTTGTTTACTTACGCAGAGGAAGATGCCAAAGAAAGAAATATGTGAAATATTAAGTTAGTTATGCGAATGGAATCTGTGATAGACTGAAGAATGAAAAGGAACTAACCTACAAATGATGAACATATACATACATCTAAGAATAACAGGTAACTGTTCTATTTGTCTGCGCATCCTACTGTCTCCTTTCACTCAATCTTGGTCTTTTCTGAAAGTTAATTCTAGATGTTCAAGACTTTTTTCTGGTCACCCATTTCATACACCTGTTCTATGAATTCACCGTAATAGATGCCTGTTTTGTGGAAACATTGTACAAAATGCTATTAATGAGCTCATGGAACATAGGAGAAGACTAAACACTGTTGTAACTATAAAAAACGTCTAGTGAAAACAAATATTACCACCTATATATAGCTGTCAGAAAAGCAAGACATGGGTTCATTAACCTGAAACCAGTGTGGAGGTCTTCCAAACTCAGTATAAAGCCTGAACAACATCCGCATTTTCAACACTAATGCCAGTCAAGTCAGTGCTTCCATATGATGGTTGAGAGACTTAGCGGAGCGTTACAAAGAGTATTTCCAACAAACTACAGATATTCATCAACAACTGTCACCTACACTGGCTCGATACTGAAGATGAGATGGCCAGAATAATAAGAATAATCAACAAAGAACTCTGGCCGGCTGACAACGAATCAACCAAGAAGCTATCGTTCAACAAATATGCAGTGGAAGGAAGAGGAGATGTATTGGGCATACACACACTGAGAAGACCGACTGGGGATATCATGCCCCATGCCAGTGCACGCCGTCGAGTGGAAGCCAGATGGGAAACGACGAGTTGGGCGTTCCAGGTGAGGGTGAGATGGAGGAGATGGTGTGAATAAGAAATGAGAGCTTGTGGGTAGTTGTGTGGCGAGGTTGAAAAGATTGCAGAGAATAGAGTGGAATGGAGATGTGCTACTGAATCCCTATATTCCACTAGGAACGCAAGGGACAAATAATAATAATAATATATGGCTGTACTTTCATGACTGATGCTGTTCCCACTGATTATCGAACCTATTACTCATCATTTAAGGCGCCGTAACTGTATCCACTAGACCACTGAGGCGTGAGATGGTATCCTGGATTCCATTGTTAGCCAACAAATCGACTATAATGTAGTGAATGTGTAAGCAGTATGGGGGTATCCGTATAGGAGGCTATCTGCCAACTGAGGTCTAGCAATTCAACCCAGTATAGCAACCAACAACTACTGATACCTGTTGCATGAGAGGTGGATCTTGTATCCCAGTGGTCTGATAGATAATTCTTCGGCATTTAAAACGATGGATACTACATTTGAATTTCAATGGGGACAACATCACTCCCCGCGGTGCTGATACATTCAGATGGCGAGAACCAAACAGTTCAAGTAAAAATAAATAATGATACTCAGAATCTTATCGGTAGTCTCCTAGAAGCAGGAGCTTCTTATATACTTACACCTCGTTCTGCAAAACAACAGATTAGGAAAAATTATACTGCAGTCTCGTACTGTCACTTTTAGCTATGAATACAATCGGAACTCTAATAAGTAGTCAACGATTTCCCTGGCTGATTATTTTTCTTGATTTGCCAACATTGAACCGCTTTTTCACTCTATTCTCACCTTAATCAATAGTCCATAATAATTTAGTTAGGAGTTTCGTAAAAGTGCATAACAATGAAGACTATAGTCAATAATTACTTGATTCAACTCCTTAAAAACAGGATCATCGATATATTCACCATTACATCTACGATCTAAACTTGTTAAACATTCAGTATTGACACCTATTAAATCATTTAATTTCACCATGAATTCTTCTGTTAAGTGTTTAGCATCCTTTAGCTGAACTATTCTTTCTTTAAGTCGATTCAATTGGCTAGTCAATTCATCTCGCCATTGACGTACAGTCCGTATACGATCAGACAAACGAATGTTTGTATTCAATTGATCATATCTATTTGAATGAAACAATATAAAGAAAACGTTAGAAAAATAAGTATTTCACAAATATATCTTCTAGAATCTATAAAAAAATAAAATATCACAAGATAATATTGTTTGACATTTTTAGTGTGCCATTTCTTACTACTCGTGAGTAACATACTTCTACATGCTAAAATAAAAACCAGTATTTCAAGAAACATGTCAAACTATATTGTTCAGTAATGAGATTGGAAGTTGTAAAATCTTCTAAAGTAGATACTTAGAACAAATGCACCCTAAAAAAGGCATATAGCTTTAGTCTAATGACACTTAATATTTCTCTCTTCATTCTTGAAACAATTCATCCTTTTTCTGGTACATTTAAACAACATGAGAATGAGAAAACGAAGATTATCTGAAACATGTTTGATGTATTAGCGGCAAACATTTCAAAGGATCTAACTGTTCACACATTTAAACTTGTCGTATAATTTACATAAAACTTGAAACGATTAATTAGTCGAATTAATGGGATTATAATTGAGAAAGATAACAAGATTCTTCCATTTTAGTCTGTTTATTAAAAGTGTCATACACAATGAAGGAACAGTATCATTTACTGGATAACGACGTTTTGAACACAATTTATTATCCAGATTCATATCAAATCAGGCAACTCCACAACTTCGAGACAGAATTTTTATAGTCCAAATTCTTTCTTTCCTTCTCTGTGATGATAAGGCTAGTAGTGTAGTGGGCGTTGCTGATAACAATGGATATAAGTAGTATGTGTTGAGAGGGTGGCAGGAACCATAGGGATTACCAGCAATGGGTAAAGCTTCTACCAAGAGCAACGCAAGGGATAACGCAGGCGTATCACAGTGGATGGTGCTGATAAGAATGTATTGAGAGCAGATTAAGAGCAAATCAAGAGAGGAACAGAAAAGGAACGAAGCACATTTGCAAATGACTATGTTAGTGCAAGGTGTATCATATGTAAGGACTACAGATCCAAATAAAGGTATAGAAGACACACATCGTGATGTTTGCTGTGGGAATAAAGAACGGTAGCTCTTAAACACGGTTACACCTTACACTAACACAGTCGTTTGCAAATGTGCTTCGTTCCTCCATACATTCTTATCTGCAACATCCACTGTAATACGCCTGCGTTATCCCTTGCGTTGCTCTTGGTAGAAACCTACCCATTACCGGTAATTCCCTATGATTCCTGCCACCCTCTCAACACATACTACTTATATCCATTGTTATCAGCAACGCCCACTACAGTAGGATATCCCACATATCTGGGATACAAATGGAGAATTATTCCTGTTACTGCGCACACTTGGTGTTGATTCGATAAACAGAGATTCGGCTACCACTCTCTCCCTACACCCAAGTAGGTTATTTATTAATACTGTCGCTCTATCCCACCCTACTGTGTGATCGTGTGTAATTGCGTGCAGAGCTGTAGTCGTGCGTTTCTCTAAATTTCTTATCTTATTAGGATCTACTAATCTTGATTTAGCTAAGCTGTTGTGCTCTGTTATTCTAATCAGCGCCGGCTGACTACTTTGATCTATGTACCTATGTACAAGATTCTTGTTCCACTTCATCAATCCCCTTCGGTTTTACCCGACTACCATGTCAATTCATAATGCGTTAATACCACTTAATCGTACTCACACAAGCTGACTAGTCAGGATTGCTTATCCCAGACCAAATCTGAGTGAATCAGTGAGGGATGGAGTGTGAGGGGGTGCATCATATTGATTATCATCTTAGCTATCTTAGATAGCCGTTGTTTGGTAGACTAATATTTATACTGGGTGATGATTGAAGGTGAAATGAAAATTTGGACCTCTACCGGATTCGAACCAGCAACCACTGGGTGATTGAAGTGAAATTCAAATCTGGTGAGTAGTCAAACTTCGTAGTTTAGTTGTTTTAGTATCGTGCTGGAAACTTGGTGGTCGGTGGTTTGAATCCATCCAAGGTCCAAGTTTTTATTTCACCTTTAATCATCACCAAGTATAAATTCTGATATAAATTTTACCAGTGGACGACGAACATTTATATACAGATAGAAACTATCGATTTTTGAGTACAGCACACTGTTCTTTAACTTTGTGATGAAACAATCAGCTAGCCACCTTCCATGCGTTGACCCCCATAACTACCCCCATCTATTGTTTATATACCTCGTTGTTGGATTTGAACTTCAAATTGAAAGAACATGTTAGAAGTAACACCTTTATAAATAATACATTGAGATATCCATCTGAAAATTATTATCTTCCATGAAATCCAATAGAAAACAGATTGTATCCACTTCACTTTCGACTGGTTGACCCCACAAGTCACGGCTTCTCATTAGAGTTGAGTTTGATCCCTAGTCGGTTCATGGGTGCGTACTACTGAGGAGTCCCATACTAGTCGGATGAAACAGTTGTCCAGTGCTCTCAGATTTTCAATGGTTCCCCAACTAATGTCAGTCCATGATGAATACTACTTCTAAATTTAAAAAAAAATCCCTATTCTTCTCAAAAATACACTAGTGTATAATACTCACTACTGACTTGCTTCCAGATGGATGTCATGAAGCTCTAATGAGAAGCTGTGACCTGTGGAATCAACCAGAAACCAGATAGTTTCCGTGAAAAAAGACGTTGATAACGCTAGAAACTACACCAAGAGAAGTCATTCACTTATCTGATACATTATTATTATCATCATCACCGAAAGTATAAAACAAAAGATATACAGCTAAGGGTCACTCTTTTCAGAGATATCATTCTCAAACTTTACAATTGTATATGTGACTATTCTATTCACATGGACGAATTACATATAAGTCAAGAGATTAGGAAAGAAAAGGAATTACGTAATGTTTGAAATAGTAATGATAAGAAGGAATACTTATCAACGGTGAACTAATATTTGGTTATAAAGTTACATCATGTAACACGGTGAATGTAAAGAGAACTCAGAATGCTTAGGAGCAAAGGAATTTAATATATGAGAAGATCTGAATGAAAAGATGTTTAAAGGTGAAAAATCTATCTTATAGGTTATGTCGATTACAACTCAAACAACTGGAGAAATTTCTTTGAATGCAAAGTTCAAACTTCAAAATATTAATTCCCTTTAGCTTCTACAGTTTGAAGAATTTTTAGATGTATGCGTTTCACAAATTTTGTACAAATTCTATAGATAATCCTAAAGTTATTTTCTGAATTTACCAGATAATCATTATCAATATAATATTCTAAAATAAATCTATGAAATGTCCTCCTTTCTCCTTTTCAGAACCAGGCTGATAAATGTTGAAAATACATTTGGAAAGTGAACGCTGAATACACCCAGTATATCTTACTCCACATGAGTGGATGAATTGATAAATATACATTAAGGTGGCCAAGGGAGTTAGCTTATCCTTTAAGCATAATCGAAACATTCAATAGGTAGAGAAAGTTAATCTGAGTTTGTCAGCATAGAAAGCTTTTCTCAATGACCATTCTAGATGGTTTCTTAATATATCTGCTGATGTGAAATGTAAGCTTATGAAGAGTTGAATTTAATACTACTAAGGTAGGTTTAGTGTAAGTACACATTATTTCTGAATAATATAGAAAGGGTTTAAGTTTATGAATATATGTATGCATTACAGAAAAGTCTGTCTTTATATCAATATGATTATCAATTTCTAATGTGTGCCATCATCACCATCAACGGAAGAAACTTAAAGGAAGTAACCTCCTTTACTTATCTAGGAAGCACTGTTTCAACTACAGGCGGCACTGACGAGGATGTCAAAGCCAGGATCGGAAAAGCAAGACAGTCGTTCATTAGCCTGAAACCAGTGTGGAGATCTTCTGCATTCAGCCTGTGGAACAAGATCCGGATTTTCAACACCAACGTCAAATCAGTGCTTCTATATGGCTCAGAGACTTGGCGCGTTACGAAAGGGATTTCCGACAAACTACAGACATTCATCAACAACTGCCTACACTGGCTCGCTACTGAAGATCAGATAGCCAGAATAATAAGAATAAGCAACAAGGAGCTGTGGGAACGAACCAACCAAGAAGCTATCGCTGAACAAATATGCAGTGGAAGGAATTTTTAGATGGATTGGGCATACACTGAGAAGGCCGACTGGGGACATCACACCAGGCCAGTTGCTCGAGTGGAATCCCCATGGGAAGCGACGAGTTTGGCGTCCGAGGTGAGGGTGATATGGAGGAGATGGTGTGAGGAGGAAATGAGAGCTTGTGGGCTGTCGTGGAGCCAGGTTCAAAAGATTTCAGAGGTGAGAGTGTACTGGAGACGTGCTACTGAAGCTCTATGTTCCATTAGGAACCCAAGGGACTAATAATAATAATGTGTGCTTTCCTGCTGATGGGTAAAGACGGTTAGCACCTCCACTTAATAAACTGTTGGAGGTCATTTGTTATTGGAGCCATTTAGGTACATATTCAACCATTCTTAACTGAATGTCACGATTGTTTCTCTCTATGTATATGTGTCCACATACACTCGTTCAAATGATGTTTCGGTTTGTGTTGAAGTATAGACTTTGTCGTATCCACTAAGATGACCTTAGCTGCGTAGTACGTCCTGGTGACAACTGATCGACTTCAGCCTGTTTGATTCACTTCTGGATAGCAATGTGATATACGCATTGATTAATCGGTGTTAATGTTATAAAAATTTTACATCTGTTGATAAACTTTAATGGATATCCATTTTACACCATGTATCCTAGTATGATTTTGAAATGATGGAGAGTAGTTGTAACTCAGGTGAATAATCTTCGTTGTATTGTGTTCTCTGAGATGGGTTGTTTAGTCGTGAAACTTTCATCGTCTTTCTATACACTTCAGTATGAAGTAAGTGAGCTGTGAGTGATTTAGTAGCTTACCTTGACCAACTGGTTTGTGATTGGTTTTTTCCTTTGATTGGTGTATCAATGACATCAAATATGTAAAGGAGTAGGAGTGGAACAACCAACTATCATTCCTGGAA